GAGAGAGAGAGCGAGAGAGAGAGAGAGAGAGAGAGAGAGAGAGAGAGAGAGAGAGAGAGAGAGAGAGAGAGAGAAGAGACCGGAGAGAGAGAGCGAGATAAGAGAAAGCTTGCTGTTTGGAGATAATGTCACTAAGGGCTTCGAGGAATTGTAATAATAGGATCGTACAACGACTGTGTGATTTGGGCTTCTTGATTAAATCCCGTGCATTTACTGTGTTCTTGGTTCCTTTTATTATGGAATTACTGGGCAAGGGGTGGTGGGCAGAACAGGAGCATGGGAGGGTATGAATAGAAGGAGAAGATATGGAGAGAGAGAGAGAGAGAGAGAGAGAGGAGGGAGGCATGGAAGAGAGGGTTTTGCCAAGAGAGCGCGGTGTGAAAGGAGCACGCTTGGAAAGGTAGGGAGAGGGAAAGTGGAAGAGAGATCTTAGATATAGAAGTATAGCTGCAGGAAGATATTGAAAGGGGAGTGCGATGGTGAGAAGGAGTCCATCCGCTTGATGTGTTTGTACTGAGGATTGGACTTCTAAATTGGAGAAAGTATTGCACTGACGTCAGGCCGAAGGCGATTACTGCCTCTGTTTTATCGCAACTTTCTTGCTCGTCTACTGCCTCCTAATGCTAAAACACATCGCTAGCAAAACGCTATGCGAGCGCTTGTGGGAGAAAAGGGACAGAGAGAGAGAGAGAGAGAGAGAGAGAGAGAGAGAGAGCGAGAGAGCGAGAGAAAGAGAGAGAGAGAGAGAGAGGGAGAGCGGGGGTAGGAAGAGAGATAGTATAAAGGGACGGCTGGTGTGAATGCATGGAGAGGGTTGGAATGAGGTAACAGCTAGGTAAACTAGTAGACGGGTGTTACCACTATCGGTGCAGGTAGGCATTATTAGTATAATATAGTTGTTATGTAGTTACCCCTTCCCTCTTCCAGTTCCTTCCCCTTCACTCTCTCTCCCTGTCCTCATACGCTCCCCCTTAAGTTTGCTGCGTTAGATTTGTGGCGCTCCTTTCCCCTCCTTTCTTTGCTACTCTCATCCCTTTCCCCCACCTTCCCTTCCTTTTTCCCCTAAGTATGTTCCCTTTTTCTCTCTCTCTCGCTTCCTACAACCCACCCTACCATGTTCATCTTATCCTTCCTCCCTCCCATTCTTCCTCGCTGCCCCTACCTTCCGCCCTGTCGTTCTTCCCTCCGTATGTTGCGTTCGTGTTCAGGCCTTATTTCCTCCTTCCCTTCCTCCCTTCAGTATTGCTTCCAATTCGCTTCCTCCTTTCCTCATCATTCCTCTCTCCCCCGCACTATATTGCGTTAATATTGTGGTCCGCGTCTCTCAATCCCTCTCAGCCTCCCTTCCTTCCCCTCAGTATATAGTATATAGTGGTCATTCCCTACATCCACCCAGGAGACAAAGTTAGTGTTGCCGTTTCACTCGTCATAACGGAATAGCTGCTATCATTATTCTGCGCTCGAATTTCGCAGAGAAGAGACAATAAATGCTATCCAAAAGATATCGTCGCGGTTCACGCGGCGTTCTTGCGGGCGGACGTCGGCGGTTTTGCGTAAATTGCGAATAGTGAGCGGTAGCCTGAGCGACGAGGTTAAGTATGATTGCCAACACTTATATGCGGCGATTCGGTACAGCTGCGCACATAACCGGCATTCCGCGGACGCGGATTCGTGTGTTTTACACTCGACGGATTATTACTCCAACGAAACACTTTTCGTCGTTTGCGAATTTAAGGTTTTGAAATGTTTATCTACCTATCTTTCTATCTATCTATCTAACTATCTATGTTTCTTTCTTTCTATCTATTTATCTGTCTATATATCTATCTATATATCTATCTATATATCTATCTATATATCTATCTATATATCTATCTATATATCTTTCTTTCTATCTATCTATCTCAATATATATATATAGGCCCTATATACCTGCCACTGCACGTCGGCTATATATCCTGCAGATATATCGAAAAAAGAACGAGAGAGAGAGAGAGGACGAAACCGAGCGAGAAAGCGAGAGGGAGGAAGAAAGAGAACGAGAAATATAGAGGGGGACGAGACAAAGCGAGGTAAGGATGAGAGAGAGAGAGAGAGAGAGAGAGAGTGTGTGTTTGTGTGTGTGTGTGTGTGTGTGTGTGTGTGTGTGTGTTTGTGTGTGTTTGTGCGGGTGTGTGTGTGTGTGTGTATGCGTACGCGCGTGCTGCTGCCTGCGTTGACGTTAGCTCACGCTCATAATTCGCTCTGTTCACTAGTTGGATGCTCGCAGAGCTACATATATATCAGAAGTAGATAATAGGGATATAGGGGAATAATTCCCTATTATCTACTTCTGATATATATAGTAATCAACGCTACTATATGTATGGGGTTAACGCAACAAGTACACTCACCGCTATGTGTAGCTGCTAATTCTGCTATTACTAGTACTGCTGCTGCAACTATTACTGCTGCTGCTGCTGCTGCTGTGCGCTGCTGCTGTTATACTACTACTACTACTAATAATAATAATAATACTGCTGCTACTACTACTGATACTACTGCTGCTGCTGTTGCTGCTGCTGATGATAATGATGCTGCTACTGCTGCTGCTGACGATGATGATGATGATGATGATGATGATAATGATGATGATGATAATGATGATGATGATGATGTTGATGATGATGATGACGATGATGATGATGATGATGATGATGATAATGATGATGATGATAATGATGATGATGATGATTGGCGCCTAATGCTGATTTCAATTCCAAACTTCTGCTCTGTTCTGTAGAAAGCCCTACTCTCCAGGTGTCCGACGGCACCCGATGACGGCTATGTGTCCTATGCTGGAAACATGGCCGGATATGTACGTGGATACATTGACATTCACGTGCTATCATGATATCTCTCGTCTGCCCACCGCGCGGCACCTGACGACGTCATATCGGCTGCGGCAGCAAATTATATTAGCTACGTGAGCGCCGGTCTTCATCATTTTCATTCCGAAAATAGAGTCCGTACAATCGCATCGGCAGCA